TGGTAGTGATGATAGTATCATCCATCAGAAGTAACTAATGCCATTCATACACCACCACCGAAGCAGAGGGAGCAATTCCGGGTTAAGTGTATTGCCCAAGGACACATCAGACATGTTGCCCAGCTGGGCATCGAACCCTCGACCTTCCAGTTGAGAGGCAACGACTCTACCAACTGAGCCACAGCCGTCTGCTGTTGTGTGGTCAGCCCAATCCTGCTATATACAACCAATCAGCAGTGTTTGTTGCTGCAAGGCCTACCCCCAAAGTCCTTTATCTTCTGAAAGTATTAACCTGGAAACTAGCTCTTCTGGGTGCAAAATGAAGTCCTTGGTAGTGTCTCACACATGCACAAAATTCCTGAAATCTCCATAAAATTGATAACGTGAATATGTCAAAAGACACAAGGCTTTGATTTAAAGTTGTCATCATCGTTTCAGACAATGTTGCCTCATTCACCATTTCTGTTCTTTTAACATCTTGTCCTGCCTCCTGGGACCCGCGCCCTCCTGTCCAATAGGGAACATCTCTCTGTAAGTGGCATATTTTAGCAGGCAAAGTCAGGAAGAATTCAGCGGCAGCCTGCCTGACAGTTTCTACACATTTCCAGAGCTACCTCCAAAAGTTCTGAGTCCTTAAGGAAAAGTTCTCGCTGTGGAGACACGGCTATAGTTTGAGAAATGGAAGGGAGACAGCTGGAGTATGCTGAAGTCGAGGGGTTGGTAAAAAAGATGAGAAAGAGAGGCTATGGAGAGGTCAGCGGTGTGAAAGAGAGGATAAAAGAAGAAACAGGAATATAGTATGAGAGAGATGTTGACAAGGCAAAGAGGGAGCAGCCCCCAGCCTCAACATGGCGTCAGATGCAATGCCCGCAGTCAAGACATACATTTATCTGTCTCACTTTTATCTCCTAAATGGATCCAGCCCTGAGAGCCCCATAGGCGGAACGTGAGGCTTCTAACGTTTGAAGTCTCTTTTTTCCCCTCCAGCATCGTCGAAAGGCAACAAGGGCTTCCTTTAATGCCTTCTATCGGCCTGTCATGTCAGCTGTCTCTCTCTCCAGCTTCCTCTTTCTTACCTTTTCACCTCTCGCACCATGATCTATAACTCCTATTTCCTCTGCTTTTTTTTAATCCTCATCTTCTTCTTCTTCTAATGCCCTCCTTCCTCCTCCCGTGTAGCATGCTAATGTTCTCAGAAATTACAGTGAGGTAAACAGAGCAGGGTGTCCAAATGAAATAACAGCCACAGGGCTGTCAGCTACAGCGAGGGGGCCATCCGTCAGTGAGGAAATGACACGTCTGCCACCTCCACTCCCCCTCCTCCCCTCCTGTCACACACACACACACACACACACACACACACACACACACACACACACACACACACACACACACACACACACACACAGTCAGATTCCTCCTGTCCTCCTTTTTGGCAAGGTGAAGGAATTATGCTCATCAAAGGCCCAGCGCAGCCTGGAGCCTTTCCATTAGCCTGGTACAACACTGGTCAATGGCAGGGACACACACACACTTCTGGGAAACATACACACATTAAGGGAAAACGACACACACACACACGCTTAGAATTACAGTATTTGATGGAACAAGCACACACACATAATTACTCGTAGATAGGATATATGCACAGGTTCACACAGACCTCAATTACCATTTCATTCATAGCCTGACAGTGGAGCGTGTGCCAAGGATGACTTTAAAGGAAATGAAATCTCCTCGTGGAACGGGCCCGCCTGTCTCACCTCCCGTCAAAACGCTCCCGTTTTCCACTCCTCCCCGTGTAACCTTCTCCTGTGGGTATTTAGGGGCTTTGTGGCGCGGAACATCCAAAAAAAAGAGTAGAACTCAGCGAGGCGGTCGTGCGTATAGATGAGGCCTCCCAGTGATAATCCCAGAGCAAATGAAGCCCCCCCACACACACACACACACACACACACACACACACACACACACACACACACACACACACAAATTACAGCTTCACGTTCCGACACACTCCTTTCACCACGTGTATCGTCACATGCTCTCTTTCACAAACTCTGGCATTATTGGCTTAGCCCTGTGAATGAGTGATCCAGACCCTCCTGTCTGCATTTGAAGACCAAACCTATTTGACAAAATCCTGAAAAAAATATCGGCTCACTTTACGAGAGAAACTCAAAGAATCAGAATCAGAATCAGAATCAGGGTTTATTTACACATACAAAGAATTTGACTTGGTGTATTGGTGCTAAACAATTAACAAGAAAATAAAGCAGAACTAGCAACAACTTAAATAATACAGTAGAAGAAGATATTACAAAATATAAAAAAGAATTAAAAAACTTAAAATATGAAGATAAAAACACAAAATGTACAAAAGGTGCAATGTAGGAGCTGTGCAGTGGACTATGAGAAAAAAGGAAAGCACAGCTGCTCTGCTGCACACACCAAAGGGACTTAGCAGGAGAGTGACACGTGTACAGTAGATTTTTACGGGCAGATTTAATTTAGCCTCATTCTCTGCCAAATTCTGTGTTATACAAACGCCTGTGAGCCCTTTTCCCACTCGCTCTGAAGCGTGTAAATGTGACAAACCTGCAGAAGAAGGAGGAGTCAGAAGTTCGGTAATTGAGCTGCGTTTTTTTTTCTCTCTCCCGCTTTCTGTGTCGGGCACCAGCTTTCTCCCAAAGGCTTTAATCAGATCAAACATGTCCTGTCAGATAAGACGGCTAATTAATCAGGGGAAGGACCCGTCTTCTCCTCAGACAGACGGAGAGATGAAGGCAGGTGGAGGCACTTCCTCTCCTCCTCCTCCTTAACCTCTTCCTGCACCTTCAAAGAGAAAGCAAAACAAGACGGAGAGAAGACAGCGTTGCCTGTGGCGAGCCGCAGAGAGTCTGTAAAGATTCTCAAAGACGGTGTTTACATGCAGGCTTCTGCAGCTGAAGTATTTCTGCAACCCCCCTCTGAGAAGATGACAGAGTTCTGGAGTGAAGTTGCTGTTAACAGCTCCGCATATATGCCTGTGAAATAAATCACTGAAGATTCACTTTAAAAAAAAAAAATCTTTTATAGGCGTTTATTTGAGGCCAAATCAAGTGAAGTCAAAGTGAAGTGGTGATATTCACAGATCACACGGCTCTCTGTGGTTAAGGAAGTAAATCTTCAACTTGCCCTTTTCCTCTCCTTGTCTCGTCTTGATGCCAGTTTTTTTTAAGGTTTATTAGACTGGACTTCACAAATTCAACCAAAACACTCATGGACTAATGACACTCACATTTTCCTTTTCATTCATATGAAGGCATAAACTGTGTTTTTATCTTGCTAGATTGCTCTTGATATCCTGGATAGATTCTGTAGCCTTTCTAATAATTTAAATGATCATCACAGAGATCATTGCCTTTCAAAGGCCCTTTACTGCATTATTGATCTAAACTGGATAGAAAATACCAATCTTACGAGGAGCTTTGATTTAAATGTGAGAAGAGAATGTACAGATTGCCTTAAATACATAAATAAGTATGTTTTAATGCATAATTTAGAGTTTCAAAGTAAGCCAGTCATGCGTTGTGAACATCATATTCAGAAGTCAGAAACTCACCCCCAATTGTGATGTAAAAAGGTAAAGGGTTAATCTTCTTAGCGTCTCCATAGGGTTGGGACAAAATATGAATATGGCATTATGTCATTGTCTTGTCCCGTGATTGTCCAGTCTTGATATTTCAACCCAAAAATTGCACTTTAAACAGATTTTTCTTCAAATGACTCCCAAAGTCACCTCATCATGACCCTTCACGGTGGGGTTGATGACAATGACTGAGGGTACCGTGAACAGACTAGATTGGCCAAGGATGAAGTCAGCAGATATCGGGACATGACTGGTCTTGCAAATCTATCAATTACTGCAGAAACGCTGTATACTGATATCATTGTTGTCCCAGACCACTAACTGCATGTCGTATCTTAAGTAAATCTGTGATTCCCACCTTTCATCTCCATCAGTGTTTACTCAGAAAACCCCTGCAGTATCTAATGTGTACTACATACAATTAAGAGCTGAATTGGCTGTAAATGAAAATGAAACAATATTAGTTTGATCATCACACTTGACTAAGGTTTGTTGTGCTTGGTGCTGTTGTATGAGCGGTTTGGAGATGTGGCTGCTGGATGGAGGGAAGATTTGATGAATGAGAGATGGATACAGATCTGAATTTGGCTGGCTTCCTGATTGGATAGTTTACCTTCTACCTGAGTGGGAGGATGGATTGATTGCAACATAAAAACTTTGGGGGAAAGCAATTCTAATATGCATCATAAACGAAACATAATTAGAGATAAGGATGACATAATGTACCTTCCTGTGTGATTTAAAGCCTGACTGATTTGTGGCATAGATGGATTGAGCGCTGGCTGCCTGGTTCAGTGACTGATTGACTGCCGGGGCTGGTGCTGCTGATTCCAGCTGTTCTCCTGTGGAACCCTCAGGGCCCTCTGCTACCTCAGGCTCAACCCACCACCAGCTGTGCAGCTTCACCTAGCTAGCAGCAGCCTCTGGGCACTACAGAGGAAAACGCTGTTCTACAATACACACTACACAGCCTCTCTCTTTCTTGATCTTTAATCTTAACACTTAAAATCGAGGAAAAAGAAACGCCCAGAGGACTCCGTACAAGCTTTTTTAAAATATGTACAGCATGCAGAATGTGAATGCATACTTGTATCGTCATAATACTTTCCGCTCATGCAAATCCATAATGTAGCCTTCACCCTGCCTCTCACGCACCCTGAGGCACAGTGAACTATCGATGCATCCTTATTGCATGTGAGCGTACGAGTGTGTGAGTCACTGGGGCCAAACGTCATGCGAGTTCAGTCGGGAGTTTGGTCCCACAGTTTAGCAGTAATGCGACGCGTGTTTCATGCTGATGTATAATTTATCATCCCTTACACTGGTGATGCATTCTCATCTTTTCTTCTCCCTCTTTCTCACTCCACAGCAACAAGAGCAGGACCCCACCAACCTGTACATCTCCAACCTGCCGGTGTCTATGGACGAGCAGGAGCTGGAGAACATGCTGAAGCCTCTGGGTCACGTGATCTCCACGCGGATACTGAGGGATGCCAACGGGGTCAGCAGAGGAGTCGGCTTTGCGAGGTACGCAGTAATAATGAAGACAGTATCAGCATGACAAGCTCTCGATAAGAGGGGCTCACTATAAAGTATGATAATGTATTGTAAGTAATTGACTGCATGAACTGTTCCCTTTGGTCAAATCTTACTTCCATAGTCGATCTAATAGTTGTAGTTTTTCATGTTAAGCACACTTGACTGAAGCCATATGAGTCAACTGAGATTGGATGACATAATCAAGATACTTTGTCACGACGCTATATTATTTCAATTTTAAATGCTGAATATTGCAATAACATATTTCTCTAAATGATGTTCCTAAAGTGAATGTTTCACAACATCGGGTTTTTGGTATAAGAGAAAGTGAATGGTCAAGTGAAGAGAGCCAGACGGTATTTTAAAAAATGTCAAAAAGTGAAACTACCTGCGGATCAAATTTTAATTCCATACTCAACTTGCATACAATGTTTGTTATTTTTGATCTGTGCACAAGTGAAAAAGCACACCTGAATGCAGCCTTGTGTATTAGGGGTCAACCGAAACCTGATCATAATAATAAGAAAGATAATAATGTTATTTTAAACATTTGTAGGTGTGCTGAGGATCGGAATACTATATTTATAACCTTTTTTTTTTCAGCAGATTATGCCCCCGAAGGAAACATTTCCCAACATCTGTATCTCTTACTTCATCTTTATTGCTCCAACTTAGGAATGATGAAACAGGTAGAGTTGTTGGTACATCGAAAATTGCAACAAAAATTAAAATGAATTACCCTATTTACTAAATAAATAATCAATTACTCAATCTTTACTTGTATGGTGCCAGTTCACACCAAATGTAATCTCAAGACACTCTACAAAAAGAGCATTTTAAAGACCTTACTCTTTGTTATATTATATACAAAGACCCAACATGAATCCATCGTGAGCACAGCACTTCCTATAAACGGGCAGAAACATGACGTCCTCATCTTTCTATAAGGCCAACTGTCTACAGATCCCTGCTGACCTCAGTGCTGAAGAAACATCAGCGTAGTGGATTGAAATGCACTTTTTAAATCATTCCTGTACCATAAAGTTGAGGGTTTTTTTTAGTATTACTCTCAAAGTTTCTATACTTTGATATTTAAAGTTTGTGATTTTGTGTTGACACAAAATTCCCCAAAAAGTATTGTGATACTATGATGCAAGGAGGAATTGCCCCGATGCTTAATGTACACAAGCATGTTCTGGCATATTTGACACTGATTCCTTTGTACACCACACATCCAAATTCAAAGACACTTGAAGGATGAATCCTGCCTCCAGGTTGCTGCAACTTTGTGAGGTTATTTGTTTGTTTGGCAGTATGTGTGTGACAGTGGATGCTGCTGTCACATTCACAGACACCAGCAATTACCCGCTTGTCCTTACAGAATATCCAGGGCTGCTATATTTCCACCAGCAAGCCTACCACTGAGCAGTTTATTTCTTTTTCGACTTATAAAAGTTTCCACTTCAGCTTGTTAATCCCCCAAAGTCATAAAGCGCTCTGTCCTTGTCCTCTGCAGCCGCCACCAGGCTCTCATTCCTCTGCACACATGCCTCCCTTGTTTACCCAGAGGAGGCCACTGACGGCCACACAACCGCCATCTTGCAGGGATTTTTCTTAATCACCCACTCTGGCTGAACTCCTCTCCTATTCCCCGCTCTATTACCAAGGGTTACAGCAGGACAGACGAGGGAAAACACACACACACACACACACACACACACACACACACACACACACACACACACACACACACACACACACACACACACACACACACACACGCACACACACACACACAGAACACCAACTTTCACACGTACACACACAGACAGGTAGGCAGCCTCCTGCGGACCAACAAGCAGAGCACAGCAACAACCTGCCACAAGCCACCTGTTCAAGTAGCCCTCGGTGGGAGGAGAAAGAGGCGTGATGGAAAGGGCGAGTGAGACGGTGGGGGCAGGAGAGATAGAGGGACAGGAGTGTGAAACAATGGCAAGGTATAAAAGAACTAATCATAGAGGTTATTAGAGAAAGAAGGAGAAGGTGATGGGAAGGAGGACGCAGAGGGAGACGAGATTGAGGAGCAGAAAGTGAAACAAGGGAGGGAGAAAAGAATGAAGGGTGATGTTTTGGTTAGGTCAAAAGAAAAAAAAATACAAAATAAAGCGATAAAGAACATTGTGGGCGTTATAGAGTAAAACTAAAGAAGGAGAAGAAAAAAGACAATTTTAAGACAAAAAAAAGAAATCCTGGCGGTTTAATGGCGCTGCTGTCAGCAGCCGTGTCAACAGACGGATGGACAGACAGCTGTGGAGGGCCGGGCCATGAGGGGCATTAGAGAGAGTAAACTGAGCTAAGTGTTTGTGGGCCGATCCATTACTGTTATCAGAGCCCATTACTCCAGCCCCAGTACTAATCATTGCAGACAGCAGCACCTGATGCCATTAACCAGCAGCACACAGAGAGCCTGCCTCGCTTCCCTTTACCTTCCCCGGCTGCCTCCGCCAGCGACCAACAACACAGTCTGGCTGGCCCGTTTGTTTTTCCTGTTTCCCTCTAACAGCCCAGTCTGCCTTATTTACTCCTCGTCTACCCACCTGTTTTCTGTCTACCTATACCTGCTGGAATAATTGAAAGAGTTGAGGAGGAGGTGAGCAATGAACATCCAGAGGGGGGTGTGAGGACGATGGGTAAAGAATGCCTGGGAATAGTGCTGGATGCTAAACATCAACACTTTTAAGAAAGACATCACAAGTGATTAAAATACATATTTTTAAAACATAAAACACAAACACACGTATCATTATTTCACAAGCATTTAGTTGAGCGTACACTGTGCACAGGGCTGTTCGAGGGGATATGTAAGCAGATGGATTAGAAGATAATTATCATCTCATGTAATCATGAACTCTATTTATATTGACTTTACTGCAGGGTGCTTTCATCAAGTATATAGCAGAGTGCTAATATAATAAAAGCAGGTTATGATAAGTCCACTTACAGGTTTTATGTAGAAATGTGGAATCTGTACACTGGGGTCCGGGTTTTCAGGATGGGAAGTGTTCTGGTTTCACTTTGTAGTACATTTTTCGTCCGTATGTGCTACAAACTTTAAGTCTCAATCAAGGGCTCAGAGTTGAAGGGATTGAAGGATTCCTTTAACATGCACCCCTTTACTGCCTTGTCTTTTTTTAATGGATCAAAAGTCACTGAATAAGGGGCGCTGGTGTGCCGAATGGTTAGGACACGTTTCATGTACTGAGGCTGTAGTCAGAATCAGAATCAGAATCAGAATCAGAATCAGGTTTTACTGCCAAGTACATTTACACATACAAGGAATTTGACTTGGTGTATTGGTGCTAAACAATTAACAAGGAAATAAAGCAGAACTAGCAACAACTTAAATAATACAGTAGAAGAAGATATTACAATATATAAAATAGAATTTAAAAATGTAGAATATAAAATAAAAAACACAAAATGTACAAAAGGTGCAATGTAGGAGCTGTGCAGTGGACTATGAGAAAAAATCTTAATGTGTGTAACTACTCACAGAGTGCATGTATGGAAGATACATTTTTAAAGTCCAGTGGGCCTGGATGTCTAGTCCTGCAAGGACCGGCTTTGTTTGAGTCCAATCTGTGGCTCCTCTCCTGAATTTAATTCCTCTCTCTCTCTCTTTCTCTCTCTGCTTGTGTTAGATATCTAACATCTAAAAAGGCTGATTTCCTTAATTATCTAAGGATTAACATGACATTTTGATTCTTGAAAAAGCTGTTTCCAGGTGTCATACATATATTCTTTGAGTCCACGACGTCAGTGGCAGTGTTTTTGCTCATGTCATTTCCAGTTGCTGAGTGCCACTGATGTGTTAAAGGCCAGTTGCCATGATTTGTGATCAGCTCGGTCCCACTGGCTGGTTAATAGTCTTCCCAAACTCAGCGGGAATGGAGAGAAAAGACAGAGAGAGAGATGGGGAAAAAGGAGTGCACTCAGGGTCAGTGAGAGATGGATGGCGCGAGGATGTGTGAAAGATTACATATTCTAAATAGAGAAGTAGGCAGAGGAAAAAAGGGAGAAAGATGTGAATGTGGACGTAACAGAGAAACAAAAAGGAAAAGGAGGGCACGGCGGAACGTGAGAGAGATGGGGCGCGAGAGAGCTGGGGGGGTAACGTTGAAAGATGGAGGAAATAACCAAGGTTGAAAGACAGGGAGGAATGAGAGAGATGTCAAAAAGAAGAGGTGCAGACGGGCCGGGAGTAAGATGGATAGGACGGAGAGAGCGATAAAGAAGCTGTGGTGAAAAAAAAAGAAGGATGAAGGTGGAGATGGGAGAGGGATGAGAGACAGAGGACAGAGAAGTTAGAGGCTGACTGGGTGATATGAGTATTCTCAATGGAGGGGGCGAATAGAGCATGGGAATCTGGAATGAACTGAATTTTACATTTTTTTAAAATGAAGCATATTACCATGAGCACAGACACAGCAATAACACAAGCATGCTGAAAAACTCATTTTAACACGTCTTTGTAAATATTCACTATAGAATCTGCTTGCTAACATGTGAACAAGAGGTGGCCTAATACAACAGTCGAACGCAGTGTACAGTATGCACTGCACACTGCGTTCAACAATAGCATGTACTGTAGTATGACTGCCAGTCAGTGGTTGTTTTTGCAGTATGTCAGGCCCGGAAATCATCTAGATAGTTTTGGAGTGCTCTCGCATTTTGGCCAAATCATTATGTACTACTAGTATACATAGCAGCCTTTGACTTGCCCTTAAGTGCCACCAGTAGATTGAGATTTTTCACTGAAACATCTTGATAATTGAGTTGGGTTTCCTTGAGTATCTTAATGTTAAACTTAGATGTATACTATCACAAACTATCACTACATCCATACAAAGGACACTGTAGAATTCCCAGTGTAATGTTAACTACATATCCAAGATGGCAGCCAACAAACCAACAGAGCCCTACACTACGATGACAGTGTTTGCCTTCATATCAATGCTGAGTGTAAATAGACGTTTTCACAATATAATCAAAGGAGTGGAAAGAAACATGCTGGCAAGCTGAAAAGAGCATGAAGCACCTTCATTGCTTGCACTTGGGATCCCATCAGTTCCACAGTGGTCTTATTATATAAACGTCATCTTCCTCGCCCACTTGCACTCTGTGAATGTACCTGAATATAACCTGCTGTGTCCACAGATGGGGTCACCCTGATTTCATGCTAAAAAGTTTTACTATAGGGGGCTGGCAGGAAGAAGTCCAGAAAAAGTCTGGGTGCAACCACTGTAGTCACATTTAGCCACTTGTTAGCAACCGCCTTTTTAAAGACACCTTTTTAAAGACGCCTTTTTAAAAACGCCTAAAAACTTCAAAATTCACAAGTGTGGGTATTACTTAACATAGTTTATGTGGTCTAACAAAACACCAACAGACGTTTGATCAAATGGCTCGACAAGAGATGAGTCAGTTGACTTCCTGTTTTCTCTCTCTCTCTCTCTCTCTCTCTCTCTCTCTCTCTCTCTCTCTCTCTCTCTCTCTCTCACTTGCAATCAGAGTCATCAACTACCTTCTCATACCTTCCTCTCTGCATCCTGTTCTCTAGCCTCATACTTTGTCTTTTCTATTAGACAGGAAGAAATGCTGCATAAAAACTCCTCCGCTTCAAGCTCTGAATTTCATTATGAACTTCTGACTCATACCGACAATATAACTGCGGCCTGCAGATAGACAGACGGACACACTCTATAGTCTTATTGGACTTTTGGTTTAATTTGAGTGGGTGACAACTTTTGGACTTTTTTGTTGTTGGAAATGAAGCCAGTATTTAAATTGTGGCTCCATGTATGAAAACAAAATGGAAGCAAACTCTGTTGATTGGTTTAAAAGGATTATGCTCTGCAGGACCTGAAACTATCCTTGGGTTGGGTCATTTTATATTTGATCACTAAAGAATGGTCAGTTTCAACCTTTGCCTCAAATGGAAAGTGGCTGTGTTTGATTTTAAATCCTTTTTTTTCTTGTTGCAGGATGGAGTCCACAGAGAAGTGTGAAGTAGTGATACAGCATTTCAACGGGAAATACCTGAAAACCCCGCCAGGCATTCCAGGTGAGTCTGCCCTCCTTTGCTTTACATTACGCTCGCATCACCCCTCTCATCTCTTTCCTTTCATGAAAACCATCAACTTTGACATGAAAAACTTCCTTTCTAATCCAACTATGGTAATTTCTCATTTTAAGATCGTCTGGACAGCTTGATAGATTGTGTACACCGTTGTTTCTGACACCTGAAGCTGACGGTTCTATGAGTCTCTTCCTCTCTGTGTCCCTCTCCCTCTCTTTTATTTTCTCTGTCACCCTCTCTGCCCCCCCTGTGCTGGTGCTGCCGCTGCAGGCTGGAACTTGGGCAGGAGGAAACCCTCTTAATATTCACACTCATGCCTCTGTGCTGTTCTTTGCAATCTACTTAAGAGCCTGCACTCTCCCCTCGTTTCCTCTCCTGCTCCTGCTCTCTGTTGCCGTGTCCTTTCTGCCTCCTATCTGTCTTTCCTGCAGTCACCCTAGATCGTGGAACAAGGAGAGAGCCGGCAGGGAAAAAGAGGTTGAAAAGAAAGAGTGTCACATAATGGAGACAGATGTGCAGACAAGATTGTACCACGTAGAGTGTTAGCACAGAAATCTGTCTTTTTACTCAAAGTCTGAAAGTCCCCAAAAAGTTTGGAACAAAAGGAGACAAAGCATTGGAATTTCTGGAAGCAGCCCAAGTCTCTGAGGGCGTAAAGGTGCCAAAAGGTGGATGCAAAAAAAAGGAATCAGGGTGGAAGGAGAGTAAAGATATAAAGAAAGAGTCAGAGGGAAAGGCCAGGATGAAAAAAAAAACATGCTGCCGAAGCACTTCTGGGGCCAGGTGCTGCCGCACTGGGAGCCTCCCATGCGTCCCAAGCAGGACGGGGGTGACACCAGTGAGGTCTCCTTCACCCCTGTGGCACTTTTATTAACAATACTCACACCTTCACAGAAACAGATTCACAAATGGCTCTCCACTATCTAGCTTCCTGGATTTAGAATCTCCGTATACGCTCAGCTGCTGCCTAGCCAGCAGCCATTAAAGGCAAGGTGAGTGGTTATATTGAAGTTGAGCTGTAATAGGAAACCTTTAAAGCAGTAATATCAGGCTGACCTTCCCCTTTAAGGGTCTATCTCCGGGCTGCTCAGGCTGTATTATTGTTAATGGATTGTTCAGGCTTGTGCCAAGCATGGAGATTTACTGCGCTGATCAAGGAAATCCTTCTGTGGAATTAAAGAATGGTTTAGTTTACAAGGTCTGCTCTGGTCTGGTGCCTCTCTGGTCTGTGCTAAAGGGACCATGAAATCTCACTTTCTGTTGATGTTTGCCTGCGTGTACGCACGACTAACTGTCACAGATGCTTTTATCGTTCCCTGAGCTGCAGACAATTTTTAATCTGACACAACACAAATGCATGCAGTTTTTTATTACACATTGTGTTACTTTTGCAAGCCTAAAAATAATTAGTAACACTGATATTGACGATGGCATTGTGCTCCACAGGGTTAGTACTGAAATGTTCAAATAACAACAACAACAACTGACAGTGCAAGAAACACAATCAGCCGTGATCAAACCCAGGAGAATTATGTAAACACTTTCACAACAAGCTCATTATGTTAATGGTCGAGTTTCAAGTGTTTTGTGTTTCTTTCCAGAGTTATTTTTTGATCATAATCCTATTTACATAATATGTTTAGCAGAGCATGCTGTAAGGTGTGGCTACCTGTGATGTCTCTTCTAAGGTGGTCTGTAAACCAGGACAGAGATGTAGCAACAATGTCCAAACTAGAGGCTGACACAGGAGTGTTTTTTTCCATCTCATCCCACTCCCACAAAAATAATTCTGTCTCATCTCTATCCTGGCATCCCGCTACCGTTTAGTTTTTTAAAATATTACTTCACGTTCTCCATTTGGCCAGTCCGTTAGCAGTAATAATAACAGTTAGTTACTTGTTTTACAAACAGAATATGATGTCGCACTTCCGTTGCTCTTGACTCTTATGAACTTTTTTAGTATGTGTGACTTGCCCCAAAGCTCTGTCAGTTGAACAGACGGATCATTGATTTTAACTTTGACCTGTAGCTCTGCTTTCGCTACATTAGTTATACCATGATTCCCACTCCTGTTGACTTTTTTTGCCTGTCCCCTCCCAATCCCATGATCAGTAGTGAAATCCTGCAGTCCTGCAAGACTCAAGTAGAAATGTCAGCCTAGAGTCCAGACCTAACCAAATAAGTAAGATGGCAACAGCCAAAACAAAGAACTCCATCCATCTATTTCATACAGTTTGTGCTAAATATCAACAGTGGATCCTGAATATCAGAATCACTGTATTTGGAGGTAAACCAACAACGAGTGCAAAAAAATATCAGTAAAAACTTCACATTAAATCTTTGCGCTCACATGTTTGAGCTTATTGTTTCAAATGTGCAGAATCATGCCACTTATTTTTTAGCAATGACGCCTTTGTTATAAATGGCTCAAATTAAAACGGTGACGCAGAGAAATATTACTGTAATGAGAGGTGTACACAAAACTTTAAATAACACATTCAAACTGTACCTAAAGGGAAACACAGATCAGGTCTACGTGCACTCGTGCTTTCTCTACAATGTTCTATCCATGAATACTGATGCTTTAAAGCTCCCTCTGTGAGTCCTTTGATACTCTCTCTGTAGGGTTGGATTTGTAACAGGGTGGGGGATGAGGAAGTGTGCTTTTTTTCCCACTTTTTGACGCTGTCCATGTTTACCTTCTGTCTGCTAAATGGAGCTCTCTGGACATTCCTCTGTTATCAAACTCAGATGTTCCTCTTCGGCCGACCCCGGGGATGTGTCTGTTTCTCACACAGGCAGCCAGTATCCATTTGGAGACGTGTATTTTTTGTGTGTGCATGTGTGCAAGTTATGCATTCTCACTACATGTGTTTTTGTCTGTGTCCTGATTCATGCGTGCATATCCCAATTTATGTGTTTTAAAGTGGGAACACATATACACTGTATGTTTGTGCTGACAGAGAGTGTGTGTGTGTGTGTGTGTGTGTGTGTGTGTGTGTGTGTGTGTGTGTGTGTGTGTGTGTGTGTGTGTGTGTGTGTGTGTGTGTGTGTGTGTGTGTGTGTGTGTGTGTGTGTGTGTGTGTGTGTCATGTTGGTGGTATTTCCCCTGAGCCCCTTGTTATGCAGGGCAGCTCCTTCATCCATCCTGCTCTGACAGCTCAGCGGCACCCCCTGGGGGGGCCCCTCGCCACACACGGCACATCATGAGCGTGTGTGTGTGACAGTGCACGATGGGTATACTCGTGTGACAGCCATGACTACTACTCTATGTGAGCCTTGACACACACGCACAAAACTGCACAAGCACAAATACAGTCATGCACCGCTAACTTTGACCTGAATGGAATGTCAACATCCATATAATGCTAATGAAAGGCTTTTTTTTTACCACCGTTTAGTGACAAAACTAAGCCCACAAACACACTCACAATGAAGCTGGAGTGCCATGCACACAGCAAAAACAAGAACACACATACTCCATGACACATGCACACACACATGCACACACTGTTCTTAATGCAGGTAGCTAACTCACCAATCCTCTCAATCTGACAAGCCTCTACATTTCCAGCTAAGCCATACAATCACGCTGTGTCAAGGGATGTAGGTGTGTGTGTGTGTGTGTGTGTGTGTGTGTGTGTGTGTGTGTGTGTGTGTGTGTGTGTGTGTGTGTGTGTGTGTGTGTGTGTGTGTGTGTGTGTGTGTGTGTGTGTGTGTGTGTGTGTGTGTGATGGGGTCGGTCTTGTTATATATTTGCCCTCTTCCTCTCAGGTGTGTCCACTGGCTATGGGAGCTGATATTGGGTTGTAACCCTGCTGTCCCATGCCAGGAAAGAGACTATGTGGGTGTCAGGAGTGGGGTCATCTGTTAAATTCAACTGACCATGGGATAATAAACGTAGAGGGGGCCGGTTTATTGGCAGTAAGTTAACACAGAGTTGCAGATAATGTAACAACACAGAGAAGCGGATGGTGGAGATGCTACCAGATGGCGGGTAATGGTGCCATAGACAGCTTCCATACACTTCCAGTTTAAATTTAATGTAATAACAGCTAGTGTCCTTGTGATTACATGAAATGTTGGGTTGATATACTGTGTGTGTGTGTGTGTGTGTATATGTGTGTGTGTGTGTGTGTGTGTGTGTGTGTGTGTGTGTGGGTACAAGCAGATGGCAGCTAATGATACTTAAACAGCTCCACTATCCTTACAGTTAAGTTTTAATGAAAGCATGTCTGCTCGTGTGGTGGTAACGTGTTATTTAGATGCAAAATCTGGTTTAAAGCACTTTTTGATTGTGTTGCTAAGAGGCAGAATGTGCAGTGTGTGAAGTGTTTCACCCTACCTGAAACACACGTAACACAACCTGTATCCATGTTTAAAAGCAATACAACCCATCAGGGTAAAAAGGAGAGTGCTAGCAAGGAGCTTGAATTGAAGTTCAACAGAAACAAGTATGACAGCCCTCGCATATAGATGCAGCTAATAAGCTACCCAGGTCAGGTTTGTTTGTCGAGCCCTCGTTGATATGAGAGGTGCGTAGCTTTTTCGTCCAACAAGCCTGTCACTGAGGTGTGCTCCAGCCGCTCTGCTCTGCCCACGTCTGATTGTGATTCAGAGAGAGGGACATGATCGATAGCCCTGATGGAGCACTTCAGCTGTTTAGCTATTCTGTGCAATGCGGCAGCCGCTCTCCCGGTCGCTGTGAGACGGCTGTGAGTGTGCATACACCCCGCACGCGAGCAGAAAGTCTTCCACATGCTTGAAACATGAACGTGCGTGGAGTACATGTATTCCAAAGGATGCACAGCCGTGTGATTATTTTTTCACCAGTGCAGATTCACTGTACTCTCTGTACAAACACAATAAACTCCTTTCTGAGGAATGATCAACTTTCTAGCAGGAACAGAGAATAAAGAGTTATTCTTGTTTTTCAGTACAAGAGGATTTACTCAATGCACAAAACAAATGGAATTTATGAAATG